CTACATCAATCCGGCCTCCTCCAAAGTTCTTCCATCAATTGGGCTCTTGTAATTTTTCCTATTCATTCTATTCACTAAACCATTGTATTTTGGTCATTAGATTAGAGTTTAAGGAGGATTAGTAGTTCATTTGAGTTGGGAAAAATTAGGTTAAATTTAGGATGGATTTAAGTTGCATTTAGGTCACACTTTTGGCACCACCTTGGCTGCACAAGTGTGACACCGAAATGCAACCCTAAATACATACTAAATTCAGCTTAATTTGCATTTAGCTACACATGACCGGTTATGCACATGTGACACAAGGTTTGAATTTAAATTTGAATTTGAATTCAAATCTTGGCGCCAACATGTGACCTCTCATGTGGCGCCAAGTGGCTTCCCAAATTCGGTGACCTATATGATCCTTCCTAACACATTTTGTATTCACTTTTGATCTTAATAGAAATTTGTGAGCCATTGGCCGAGTTTCCTCTCTCAAAAGTCCCTTAGAGTTCATCTTCAAAACCTTAGGATTTCACCTTAGAATCCTTCTCTTTGAAGTGTGCTCTCCATTGATGCTTGAGCTTGGATGCTTCCCTCCTAGTTCTAGGTTGAGTTCATCCGTGAGTTTTTAGCTTATAGGTGTTCTTGAGTTGAAGAATCAAGTCTCCATTGAAGAAGATCCGACCTAAGCAAATCCGTGGAGAAGATCATCTATCACTTCTCCTAAGTTTGCTATCAAATGGTGAGTACTTAAAAAAAAGAAATTAACGTAGAGAAGGGAATAGAAGGAGGTGTGTTAAAGGGTAAGTGCTAAAAAAAATTAATTAAATATTAAAAGCAAGGTGCAAGATAGTATAAAAAGGGGTGATTGCTTAGAAAAAAATTGAACTCGTAGGAAAGACGGTACATAAAGTCAAGATCTTAAAAAATAAAAAAAAATATTAAAGATATTTTAGAAAAAGAGTATATATAATAGAGGTGTATTATTAATCTAAGTTGTATATTATAACTTGCAGCAATGGAACGGTTTCAGGCTTGGTCTTATTATAACATGGAGATATGGATTTGGATTTTTCATCTGTATTGAGAAAAATTCAAGTTCCACGTTGACTAGAGATTAAACAATTATATAGTATATAAGTGAAAAGTAATTTTCACCTTATAAGCTAATTTTGTAGGGTTGAATTAAACTCAAATCCACTATTCTAAGATGATATCAGAGTTATCTAGATTCACTTTAAATGTGTTACCTACTATATTGATATACTCACCATGAGTATGAGGGGGTGTATTAAAAAAAAACCTCTAGTCTTGCCTAGGGATGGCAATGGGGCCCCATGGGGACGGGTAGTAGTAAACCCACCCCTGTCCCGCTAAATGAAAATTGGCCCCATATACATCCCATATCCGCGCGGGTATCCATGAATTTCTTAAATACCCATGAATATCCATGGATATTTATAAATTTTTTAAGAAATTAAAAAAATTATATTATAAATAATTTTAAGTTTATATTTAATGTCATTGAAATATTAAAAATAAAATTTCAGTGTTAATTTTGAACTTGTATTTAACGTTAATTTTGTTGAAATAATGATAAAAATGTAAGATAATCAATAACTTAAAATACATTAATCTCACAAGTTAAAGTTTCATCACAAAGCTACAATAATTTAATCTCATAATTTCAAATGAAAGTAAACAAATTAAAATACATAAATCTTATTGGTCCAATCAAAGCTAGAAAATTAATCAAATTACATCCAACATAATTCTATAACATGCTTAACAAATGTTGATAACTTCATCAACCTCACTTTTGTAAGAAAATAAGATGAGAGTGTAGTTTTAGGGTTATGTGGTACAAAGATAATTAAGATATTTAAGAAATATTATTAAACGGGTACCCACGGGTATGAATATCATCATACCCGCCCCCGCCCCATTTATAAACGGGTAAAAAATTATCTGTTCCCATTATCTGCGGGTACCTAATTACCCTATTCATTTATTATCATAGCGAATTTTACCCGCAGATACCCGCGGGTGTGAGTATTTTTGTCATCCCTTGTCTTGCCAATAAGCATGGCAATCTAACCCGTCCCGTTACCCGCCTGAACCAACCCCGATTTAGATGGGAAAAATTTGTGTTTATCGGGTTCGGGTTTTCTCCGATTGATAAAATTGAGGGTGGGGGCGGGGGCGGGGACTGCCATGCTTAATAATATAATTAAAAAATTTATATATATATAAACCAAAATTAGAAATATTTATATGTAAAAATTTATATTATTTTACTTTTTTTTTATTTTTATAAATTTGTTCATATTTATTTAAAAGAAAAAAAGAAAAAAAAATAAGAACGAGGACGGGGGCGGGAACGGGACGGGGAAACTCGAACCCCACCGGGAACGGGGATGGGTACCCAAATTTTACCCCCGACGGGTATCATGAGCGGGGGCGGGGGCGATTTAAATTTGCGGGGCGGGGGCGGGGAACGTAAAATCCACCCCCGCTCCGCCCCGCCCCGTTGCCGTGCTTACTTACTAATCCTAGATCATTAAAAAAGTTCATCCATCATTTAAATTAACAACTAATCGATTAAATCAAATCTATAATAAGTGGTTTGGACTGGACTAATTATGAATTGGTTTATCTTAAAGGGATTTTTTACACATCCTTATACAAAGTAAATCCAAACTTTGTTTATTCACCGTTAATTTTCATAGTCAAATTTTCTGTTTAAAGTTTGCTTCATTTTGGTTGACAACTAAGTTATCAAAGCAAATTTGAAATTTCTTACGAAGGATATGAGAATAAGGTCTGTTAGTTTAATGGGTATTTCGAATTCCTAAGCTCTTTTTATGAGAAAAGTTATCTCATATAACTTTACCTACAACGAGAAAAACGGTAATACAAACATGCTAAAAGTAATTAAGAAGCACAAATGCTATTAAAACTAAATTTGAAACATATTGGTGCGACTTAACTGAGCAATGTGCATGAATTGTTGTAAACATCTTGGTTTCGAGTTCAATTCATGTGAATTGAAAAGTATTATTGGTGCACTGATCCCTCTGAAATTTCCACGGATGGTAGAAGGGGAGGCAAAGTTGCCATTTGGTGCAGATTCTGAGACTGAGGAGCAATATTCTGCAATGCAGCATCATAGTTATAGGGTTGCATTGATTGCAAACCTCCATTGTAATTGCTAAGTGCGGACTCATGGTTATGTGTATCCCCATGAAAACTAGTAGCTGCAGTACTTCCCCCAATCATTGGCACACCATGTTGATTAGTCCAATTTCTAGACACATCAGGTTGACTAACCCAATTCACAAACTCATCAAGTGGACTAGTCAGATCTTCAATTTCACCTAGTTGACTAAAATAGTCCAAAGACTCATCAACTAATTTAGTCAAATCCGCAGGCACATCATCTTGATTTGTAGAATTTCCATTAGCATCAATTTTGGTAGCACAATCCAGAGGCCCCCCAACTTGATTAGTACTATCCACCACCACCCCTTTATTCTTTGTCATCAATTGCATAAGATTTTGATCAAAGTGAAGCATTGGGGGTTTAGAACAAGAACCTTGATCATGATTAAGTGGGTAAGATGTTACAAGGTTACCATCATTCAGTGGCTTCATGGGAGCATTGGTGAGTTGATTTTGAGACATGCCATTGCCATGCATGAAATTGAGTTGGCTTTGGGTTGGGGCAGCAATCTCTGATGGAACCATGCACTGCATGAAATTGAAGTTGGCTTCAACTTGACGCTTGTATTTCGCCATTTCAACTCGTTGGTTACAAGCTTCAAATTTATGGTCCAACATAGCAATGAAATTACTCAACTCCTTTATACCTAAGTTATCAAAACTTGGGTGCCAAGTTGGATATTTGATCTTAAGGGTCTCATTTTTAACCTTGCAAGTCTCAACTTCAATCGCATTCTTCCTATCGTAAAAAAAGTTGTTGAGATCAAAGTTCTTGGGAAGTTTCTCATTCTTTACACTTTCATATCTTGCAATGATGGAGTGCACCTCATTGGGATCTTGAGGCCAAGTATGTGGTGGAGCATCATCACCATTGCCATCATACATAACCAAGCAAGTGTTGACTCCACATACGCTAGAAAATTCAGACATTTTCTTCATTAGTACCTTCTTTCTCTTCCTGAAAGCCAAATCACGATCTCTCCCATTTGGAATGGGTTTCAAGATTAACTTTGGACGACCCATATCCTAAAAACATGCACACATAACAGAAATTGATCAAAAATAGCAAAACTTGGTGTCATCAAGGAATAGAGAGCGTGATCAAACAAACAACTAATTCATAAATTGGACGTATTCGTAAAGTTCGTTCTACAAATTTAGAACAAGAAAAAAATAAAAAAATAAAATTAAAGAAAACATATTGAAACATAAAAGAAACCAGCATCAAACAGTAAAACATATGTAAAACGAAAGTTATATGCGATGTCAATAAAGAGTGGTTCCAGATTATAGAAGAAAACATTAACAAAAAGAAAGAAAGAAAGAAAGAGACAATAGAGTTATATTGATAGATACCAATTTTCCTAATGGCAGAAGAAAGTTGCTTACTTTCAGTGGCTGATATTGGAACCTTCTAACGGCTAATTTCAGAATTGACCATGAATGAATAAAGAAGCTTTAAGAAAATAGACGTTGAATATATAAATAGACAGAGAGTAACATTTGATATTGTTATAATTATAATATAATAGTATATAATATTATAATATAAAAATTATGTAAAAATGTAAAATATTTACGTAAATATAAAATATTAAGTGTGATAATTTAAGAAACGCAATCAATATACTTATTTTTCTCGCATAAATTTAGGGTTGAAATGATACTGATCCAGATGTTGGAATGAAAAACATCATCAAATCTTTGATTAAGTAAATTATATCCCACCATGATTTATCTAATCCGCTCTAATGTCTTATATTTAAAATACTTTTTTCGATTGAATAAATATGCCGATTTTTATATGGATTTAAATTAAGTATAGGGTTATTGACATTTATGTCTATTTATGTTTTTTTTTATATTTCATTATTTTTGATAAAATTTATCATTATATTATAAATTTAAATCCTCTTTCTTAAACAAAATATTCGTAGGTATTATTTTTATCCTTATTAAATCATAAATTTTCAGTTTGGATCATCTCAAATTGTATTTTATACTACTAACATATTCAGCAAACATCTAAATCATTGATTTTGTTCACACGGTAATTGGATAGGAAAGAGATTGTGATGGATGCTTGATTTACTTGATTGAGATTTTGGATGGAAAAAAAGTGTGGCTACGTACCCCTCACGGCTACAAGGTTGCAAGATTTAATTTTAATTTTTAGAGTAAATTAAGTTATCATCTTCTTAGATATAAGAATATTATATTATTATTCTTTTATATAAAAATATATAATTTAATTCATTTCACTTCACATTATTAATATAAATTATATTTCTACTTAAAAATAAAAGTATTATATTATCACTCTTCTATTATATTGATTTAGAGTATTTAACTCAATACCACTAAAAAATAATTTCATAAGATTTTAAAACATATTTTTAATTTAATTCTTTATAAAAATTTTTTTTAAAAATATTGTTAATCTATTATCATTTATTCACTTGATTAAAAAATTATAAAAAAAGATAATTAAAAATAAATTAATTTATTAAAATAATAAATAAAATAGAAACTATTAAATAAATTATATATATACATCAATATATAATATAAATTAACATATATATTGTTCCTGCTCTAAAACATTGATGGAGGTGAGTAGAAGTAGTGAAACTCAAACTCTTCCTAAACTCCTCCTAGGCTCGGATCTTCTTCAATGGAGATGGAAACACACTTGAAGAACTCGTGAAGATGAAGAACACTTGCTGAAATGGAAGAAGGAAGTATCCAAGCTCAAGAACTCAAGGGATTGCACACTTCAAAGTGAAGGAAACTAGGTTTTCCTAAGGTTTTTGAAGGCATTCCCTTAGGTTTTCTCTCTTGGATATTTCGGTGACTCTTGAGGGAATTAGCTGAAGGTAATGTTCAGAAATTCTCATATATTCAAAAGTGAATACAAAGTGTAGAAGAAACACTTAAGTAGGGACAGTTTTGAGTGACATTGGCGCCTAGACTTAGCTACACAAAGTTGGCGCCTAAAATTTGAATTCAAATTTGAATTTTGAATTCAAATTTTGGTACACATGGGTGTGGCCGTGAGTTTAGGTGAACCTTTGCATCTAGGTCTGATTTGAGAGTCATTTAGGGTTAATTTGAGTGTCACATGTTCAGCCACCAATTGGTGCAAAACATGTGACTCAAATGTAACTTAAATGGCTTCCAAATTAAACCTAATTTAACCTAGTTAACCTACTTTAGTATTTCTTGTATTTTCCTAATCTAATGACCTAAATACAATGGTAAAACAAATACAATGGAAAGGAAAAATTACAAGAATGAAAATGAGCCCAATATTGGGTACCAAAAGCCCAAAGGCCCATGAAGCCCAAAACTAGGCCCAACTAGCCTAAAACCTAAAATGCTACTCTATGTGGTCCAAAATACAAGATCAAAATATATGATACCTATACTAACATGATGTATACAAAACATATGAAATTAGCTATAACAAAATATGGCCCATGAAAAGTTCAACTTGAGCCTTCCTAGGCCCATCGGGCCCATTGGGCCCTGACTGGCCTAAACCTTCATGTCTAGCCAACTCCTCTTGGATCTTTGAGTATGTCACCTCTTGCACTCCAAAGTATGATTCCATCAAACATTCATCCTCTCTCTTCTTCTGTTGGTTTTTAGAGTCTCGAGTGTCATCTTCTATTAACCTCCGATGAGAGGAGGGTACCTGCAAAAGACACTCTGACGTTCAAGTAATTAAGTATTTGGTATAGAGCAAGGTTGACTATAGCATTGAATGATCATACCTATTTCTGTCCCATTACCTACGTATTTATAGTGACATATTTGGATCTGATGGGCCTTCTATCTTGGGAGATGGGTAATTAGGGATTTGTGTCTTTTTGTTAGTCTTAATATTGATTAATTAGGCGTAGCAAGTACTATTTAATCACCTATCCTGGTTTGCCTTGTTCAGAATGGGCTGAGTACCCCCCTTCAGTCAGGCCCTTAGTCGAAGAGGTATTTGGTTGTCTTCGTGGTCGAAGGGGTATTCGGTTATCTTCGTGGTCGAAGGGGTATTCGGTTGGGTTTCTAGCTGAAAGGGTGTTCTGCTTGTCCTTTGATCGGATGCTTAGGTTATGGTGCCCTTTTTCCTGGGTCGTCCCTTCGAAATCTTCTAGGGCCGAATAGGGTACTTCGTTTTCCTTCTGGCTACCCTTTGGCTTATTCCTTAGTCGAAGGGGTATCTGATTTTGATGGTGGTTGCTTTAGCTACTCCTCGGCATGCATTCTAGCCGAGGGGGGTATCCGGTTCTGGCAAAGACTCGTTGGTTTTGGTCGCCCTTCGGCCATTACCCAGGCCGAGGGGTGTGGTCGTCGGTGTTGGATTTGGCCGAGGTGTACACTTTCCAGTACATATATATGTATTATTTTTGTTATAATTATATTTTATTTAATGACTGATTTTTAATATAAAATATTTAATTAAAAATTTAATATACATATTTTAATGTTATATTAATTAAATATAATAAATAATATTTTTATCATAAAATACTAGTTTGTTTAGATATTATAAAATATTTTTTAGAGACATTAAATATTATAAAAATATTATTTTATTTAAATATTTGTAAAAATATTATATTAACTACATAGTTAAATATTATTTTAATACTTGTCTTCAATTTTATTATACTTTTATATATAATAATAACAATAATAATAATAAATATTTTCAAATATATAATTAATTTAGTAAAGTTTATAAAAAAAAATTAAAATAATAATTAAATATGTAAATTAAAAAATAAATTACTAAAGCATAACATATTTGAAATTGTTAAGAAAGGAAATGTTTATTTTAGTACAAGGAAGAATGGTATAATATTTATACCTGTGAAAAAATGTTAATATAAAGGGTAAAGGGTATTTTAGCAATAAAAATTTTTGTAACAAAAGTTAACAAAACTTTAAATAAACAATTTTAAAAACTAGATAAAATGTTATATATTAAAATCTGCTTAAAGGAAAGGATTGTATTTTTTAATTTAAGTGGAGATGACAGTATATAATTTATTCTAATTTTTATTTGATTTAAATTTTGATACATCCTATATATATTAGATTAAAGTGTTTTTTAGATAACTAAATTTTAAAATTGCTAGTATTTTAATATAATTTAGATTTGATTTTTAAATTTTGAACGTCATTTATACTATTAATAAATAGATAGTTTCTTTTATGTGTACACTTTTTTTTAAAACTATTTTGTCTTTACAACTACTTTCAATTAAGGGTGGGAATAAATTAGGTCGGACCAGACTTTAAATATATAGATTAGATCTATTCTACAAAATTAAAGGGCTCATGATATATATACTTTTTTTTTATAAGTACACCTCCTTTCATTTAAAAAAAAATAAAATTAACAAAATATCTTTAATTTTTTAATTTTACACCTCTAATATTTATTTTAACATTCTCTACTTCTTTTCCACATACCTCCTTTAGTCTTATTTTCAATTTTCACATGCATCTTCTTATCTTCCCCCACTCTCAACCTATTTCAGAAGGTGGTTTTAATTTTTTTGGACTTTTACATTACTTTCTTTTCCCCTCCCCTTCCAGTTTTTACATTATTATTCTCTATTTTTCCTCTTTTAGTTTTCACATGTACCTAAGACGTAGATCTAGTGTCCGATAGTGTCAACAGTGTCGAAGGTGTTGAACCAACTACGCATTTTTCTTTGAGAACTTTATCTCATTTACATGTCTAGAGATTAAGTTTGATGTTCCAAATAATTTGTATTCCAGAAAGTATTTTCTGGAATTAGGTAAAACAATACACATCTGAAAAGTACTTTTTAGAACACTAATTTTAATGTTCTAGAAAGTACTTTTTGGAATTGTGTTTTTTACATACTTTTAGAAAATATTTTTTGGAACACTAAATTTAGTGTTCTAAAAAGAACTTTCCAAAATTATATAAATCAATACACTTTCGAAAAGTACTCTCTATAATACTAATTTTAGTATTTCAGAAAATACTT